GTACCACTCTGGTCCGTAATGTTTGTCACATTGTTTTTGGCGTGGTGCCATTCGTCTAAATTTACGACTTGAATTGAACTGATTGGTGCATTGGAAAGGTAATGATCTCCTCTTTGATTGGCTAGTTCGAGCTCCTCCGAAAGCACTTTTTTGCAGGAGATACAAGCTTGAGAGAGCATGAGGTCGATTTTGTAAAACGAAAATCATCCGGTCAGCGTTAAATGCCATTGCTATCTCGTGCACTCGATGCCCAATACACGTACTAACCCTATGCGAAGCAAGTACACATACTATTGAGATCCAAAGACGTTCTGCTCGCTAGTTGTGCCATGCAGCGTCGAGTCACAGTAGATAACCACACCATGCTGACATATAGCCATGATGACCCTATGAAAGACATGCTCTCGGTTATAGCACCTGACAGTATAGATCTATTGTTCGTTCATTAAGGTCACCCCCACATTCAGCGTTGGCCCTGACATACAGACCTCTCGCCTTGGCGCGACGGCGGCCAAACATGATGGTGGCAGATTTTGGGGTATAAACCTCTACGTATCTATAAATATATGTATTTATGGAGGCAGATTCTGAGAAATTTGATGAATTTCATACTGAAACCAAGTCAAATACAACATGACAATCTTTATGGACCAGAGTAGTAGTACTGTATGTACTGTCTGATACTTTGAATTATTTATATGGATTTCAAATATCCGTGATAGTATCATGTGTCATCCAAACGTCATCCAACATTAAAATTAGGTCATATCCTAATTAGTAGATATGAGAGTAAATTAGGATTATGCTGGGTCATTGCATACAGGCCTCGTCCGGGAGCGGCACGGCCTACGGCCTACCTGCCGCTGCCCGACAAGAAGAAAAGATAGATCATTCGGTGAAGTGAGAAGCTTAGATCCGCGCTCTCGTGCGGCCGCGCTTGCGCAGACGGCCTCCCGGGCGCTCGGGGCCAACGTAAGGCTTGGTCACTACTTTAGGTTTCATCCCACAACTTCATCCAAAAATTTCATCCAATGTCATCCAAATTTCATCCTTGCTTTTAATTCAACAATTATATTATATTAACCATAGTATCCAAGGTTGGTATTAATATTCAATGCTGTCCCGTAAGTCTTAAGTAGTACATACTTACGTGGTACTAGTAGTACTATAGCAGTACTAGTACGTAGCAATATAGTAATGGCCGTAGCTTGGTGCTATTAATAGCTACTACTATTAATACGTAGTAGTAAGACTATTATTAATAATAGTAGACTGTTGTTAATACATCACAAAGGGGGGAGAAAATGAAAAAATAGTATTTTTTTTATATAACGTGACTACTTGTTTAGTTCTTGAGGGTTTGGACGAATTCGTAAAAGGCAAACTCGGGGCAGTGGAGGCCCGCGGCGTAGACGAAGCGAGACGCGAGTTGCGAGGCAAAGAGCGCGCGGAGGTACGACTCTGGCAGGCGCTTGACGAGTTCATCGCGGGAGAGGAGGGCGGTGAGGGCCTTGGGGAAGCCGCCGTCGAGGATGAGGTCGCGCAGGCCTTGTTGCTCGTACAAGGACGAGTCCTGGATCGTTACGCTCAGGTCTGTGATGCGTTCCGAGAGCAAGTTGGTCAGGATCGCATACGGGGTCCCAGAGCGTTGGTGTTCGCGCCACAAACATTCAAACTCTTGGTGCGCGTTGTGGTCGATGCGGGCCTGCACTTCGGCCACGTACGTCTGGTAGAAGGCGGGCTTGGGCTTGCCGGCGACCACGGCCATGTGCTGGGCAAACTCGGCATCCGTGAGCGACAGCGCCGCGAGCACTTCGAGCGACGACGACGTGACGCCGCCCTTGTTGGCGGATGCGTCCTTGAACAGCGTCACGCCGGCCTTCTCCAGCACGAGGCGCGCGTCCTGCGTGAAAAACAAGTTGGCGCCTTCGACAATGTACTTGAAGCGCAGGGTCTTGCCGTCCGGACCGTACACAAAGTTCTGCACGTTGCTCAAGTTCACGGCGGCGGGGCGGCCCCCGCACGGCACGAAAAAGTCGGCCGTCAAGTCGGATCGGTTGTGGAAGTTGTTGCGGAACTGGGTGCCATTCTCCACGACTTCGCCGCTCGGCAGCGTCACGTCGTTTTGCGAAATGAGCACAAGGTACCCTTCCGAAGACAAGAGCGACGTGTCAAAACCTTGCACGGGGGACCGGAGCTTGGCGAGGCGCACCAGCTCGGCGCGGTTGAGCCCGTGGGGGTCGTACAGCACACCCGAACCATCCACGAGGGCGATCGTGTCTTCGCCTTCCGACATGAGGATCTCGTTCGAGCCGAGATCGCCGTCGGGGCCGCCCGTTTGCACCTTGGTCAAGCGCTTGGCGCCAGGGGCTTTGAGGTTGAGCTTGTTCTGGATGCCCTTGACGAACTCGCGCACCGAGTGCGTGGTCATACCGTACTCGTCGTGGGGGATACCCCCGCGCGACGGCGACTTGCCCGTCGTGATGGCCTTCCAGTAGTTGTACCCGCGAGACTTGGCGTACGACGACGCCCAGTCCATCAAGTGCGCCGTGCCTTCGTCCGGCCCAAGGAACAAAATGTCTGGCTGCGTCCGCACGATGCCGTCGTTCTCGGGCAGCATGATGTCCAGCAGCGCATCAATATACTTTTTGAACGCCAGGTCCGCCTTGTCTTGGTGCGCCAAGTTGAGCAGGATCACGCCCTTGGACCCGCCTTCGGGGATGTCCTTGTTCTTGCGCTGCTGGGTCGACGCGAGCCCGTAGCCTTCGTCAAAGCACGACGACACGTTGTTCAGATACACTTGGGCGTGCGACGACCGAATCATGCGGATGCCGCCGCGCGCAATGTCGAGAAAGCGCGTGTGGAACCCGCGGAACTCGGACCCGATCACAAAGATCACGGCGTACGGCTTGTCGGCGTACTCGGTCGACGGAAGGAACTCGCCGTCCAGGCGGAATGCGAGCGCCGACTTTTCTTTGCGGAAAAAGTTGGTGTGCTGCACGTGGTGGTTGAAGCTGGCAAACTGCGAAAACACGGTGAGCGCCGCTTCCGACGTGACGGCCTTGCGCAGGTACGACAAGATGTCGGCTTCCTTGCGGTGGCGGTCCTTGGACGCGGGCGAGTGGAGCGCTTCGAATTCTTCGTACAACGACTTGATCACAAGGGGCGACGACAACAGATGGTCCAAGATCTGCGCTTCCGTGTACGTGTTTTGCTTCATGGTGGAGCGGAGTTGTTCGAGGCGGGCAAACGCCACGGCGTCGCGGTCGCGCAGCGAGTTGGACACGACCGAGTATGCTTCGGGCAGACGCTGCAAAAAGTGAAATGTAAACTTCCACGCAGCGTACGCGTACGAGATTTGCTGGGGAGTGAGCAGGTGGTCGCGCAACAACGGCGACAGCGACGTGCGGGGAAGGACGTAGTGGAGCGACGCGTCCGACACGCACGCGGCCACGCGTTCTTCAAACGAGCCCTTGCCCTTGACATCGTCGCCAGTCAATTGCTGCAGGTAAAATCCGTAGATAACGATGCCGTTGGAAAAGTACTCGGCGTACTTGCGCGACGAGAAAAGGCCGTGGCCGCGGTAGACATCGGCGAGCGACGAAAAGTAGCTGTGAGTGGACCCGGCCTTGTATGCGACGGTGAAGCGCGCCATCTTGGTGTTGTCGGGCTCGAGCCACACTTCGGTGTGGAACGCAGGCGTCATTTGGTTGGACGCGGTCTTGAGCACTTGTTGGTACACCTTCTTCAAGTTGTCGCCGGCGCGTTCAAGGAAGTGCTTGTCGGCCAATTGATGGATGTCCGTCTCGCCTGCGGCGGGGGAGGGGTTGACGAATTCAGGCTCTTGCAGAAAGTACAAGCGCATGTGCGACGGCACCAACGTCGTATCCAAGAGACCCGTGGAGCGGTAGCATTGGAGGCGGTATTGGCGGTTCTTTGTGGTTTCGGAAGGTTCAAGGTATTGGTACCCCGTCTTGACGCCGTCGCCGATGCATTCCGTGGACGAGCTCAGGTACTGCTTCTCGATGAATCGTTCCAAGTTGGACACATCCGAGCCGCCGGACAAGCGGGTCGAGTTGGATTCGTCGCCTTGCACGTTGGAGCGGGTGGCAAAGAACGCAGACTTTTCGTTTTCTTGCACCAACTTGAACTCTTGGTCCACGCCGGAAGCCTTGGTCAACACCTTGGCGCCGATCAAGCTTTGGATGTGCGACGCGATCGTGGCGGGCGAGTGACCCAAGAAGTAGAATTCATGCAGTCCCAAAGGACCGTAGAACCATTCGATTTCTTTCTTCAACGTCGCTTCGCTGAAGAGCGAGTCTTGCGCAAGGATCTTGCCCACTTCAGCAATCTACAACGTGAACGAGGAAGGTCAGATCATCGTGGACAGCAGCATGTAGGGGCACTCAGAGGAGGACGGGACGTACTTGGGCTTGGATGTCCTTGTTGTGGTAAGCACCTTGTTCCATGGAGGTGCTGCGGCGGACTTCGAGGTTCATGATGGTGAAATCACTTGTGGGGGGGACGTCGAATCGGATAATGAGAGTGTCAAAATCCGTGGATGGACGCCTCAAAGATCGCATAGAAATTTCAAGTGCAACTGAGATCTCGTATACTCACGGAGCAGTTTTATTGCTCATAATTAAAAAAATTCAGTCGACTACGCGGTCAGTGATTGGACGAGTGCTTGAAGTCCAGAAGTGACCAATCACAGGCGGACGCCACGTCTGTACTGCAATCGGATTGGTCCAAATCCCCTCCACGCTGCGTCATCGCATGTGCGGTGCTGCCGCCGACCCCCTGACGACGGCGCGTCAGAGCCGTGTCGAGGGTAAACCAGCCAATCAAAACCAACTTCAAGCCGCTTCCCCACCAATGTTAGGGCAGGGCCTTGACCTTTTGATCAAGAAGTAGAGTAGTACTGCTCCATGATGCAAGCGTACTTACTTCCATGTGAGATCGCCATCTAGTCTAAACGTGCAGAACAACGGAGCAGACCCGTGTGGTGTGTGCTTGGTGGCGCCAGAGGATGTGGGTGGCGTCGGGTGTTGGTCACGGTTGAAGTTTGGTTCGTTAGGGGACGATGAGCAGCTTATTTAAGGTATTTGTCCTCAGATTACCGCACATGTGGGCACGTCGCAGGTGAAATACCCTATATAAATCGTGACACGCATGGACTTCCGTGGGGATCTGCGACAAAGCCATGGTGCCGCGTCCGTGGTTGAGCCAATCGCAAGGCTGCCGTGGGTTTGGTGGCTTTTTGTGTGTGACTCAGCTCCCCCTCGTCGTCGACTTCCCGGCCATCGTCATTTAGGAGGCTGCCACGTCATCGCTTCGATTTTTAAATTTCCTTCCCGTTGAAGCAAGTGCACCACACCGTGGTCTGGACACGTTGAATTTGGCGACCAGAACGACGTACACACCGTGTACAGTATCGATGGACATGTATTTGGACGTTAACTTCGTTACTGAAGCAGCTCCGTGGGCACCAACTTGGGCTCGAGGTCTTCGTGTTCGAGGAACCGCAGGGGAAAGTACACGATGTGGCCGCGGACGTGTTCCAAGCGGAGCCGCAGGTCCTTGGTCACTGTCTGCTCGCGTCGAAAGGCCCGCATGGCATTGGTAAAGACGGCGTTGCTATGAGCTTCTTGCTCCCGTTTGCTCATGGATCGTCCGTTGCCGGCTCGTTTCCCCGCCCCCGACTCGTGAGATTTAACCTCATCATTGCCACCACCACCGGCGACCACAGCAACAACTCCAACCCGTCCGTCATCGCCGTGGTTGTCTTGTGGGGCCAATGTAGGAGGAGATGACCCAGGTGGGTCGGAAGTAGAATCATGAGCTTCCTGCGACGACGGTCGATGCTGCATCTGACTGAACCGCCCCGACGGATGGTGCACGCTGTCTGCCACCTACAGTAGTACCAATAGTACATTGAATAGCGTTCTAGGTATATATATTTACATACAAAATCCACGCCCATGTCTCGAAAGGATCGGATGCTGTCGGCGGGAAGGCAGCCAAAGACTGCTTCGTAGATGTTGGTGTTGGCCATCGCGTGCTGCCGCAGCGCCATCCACGCAGGGGCGGCCGTCGGATCCTCGCGATACGACAGCCCGATGCCCCCACTTTCCAATCCAAAATGCTCTTCAAACAACCGCATCCGGAACGAATGGCTGAACTTGCCCACCGCCGCGCCACCTACACACACACACCAGTCGTCGTCACCCCCGTCAGGGCATCTATACTAGTAATATATATATATATATATATATACTCCATCAGGACAATTTGTATATATATATATACTAGTATAAAAGTATGCATACAACGAATGCTAATGAGGTTGTTGTGTTGGCGTGTATGTATTATATATATATATATATATATATCCACAACGCCACCAGTCCTCCATATTACGAATATACAACTAACAAATAGACGACGTACTCAACGTGACATTGGGCACCCACTCGACGTCTTCGATCACGGCGGCAATCTCCGAGTCGCGATCGCCCGACATGCTTCGTTCGTTGATGTTGGCACTACACCAAATATAAACCACCGTCACACACATATCGATATATATATATATGTGACACTGTCGCAACCACCACCGTCACACGTATCTATACTATCGTTGTACCTGCCAATGACACTGATGCGATCGTCGACAATCATGATCTTGCTGTGGATGTACACTTGTTCTGTGTGGGGCATGCCGTCGTGCACGGCATGCGTGCGCAGTGCAAAGAACGCAATGTACTCGAACGCATTGGGAATCCCCGCCGCATTCAGTTGATGGTAAATCGACCCTTCTCCACGACATATGCTTCGGTACTACACATCCAGTAACATCCGCATCAAACCCTCACTACTTGCAGTATCCTACATATATATATATTTGTTGCCAATATGTATATGTTGCTTATACCCTATATATATATTGGTTGCCTATATATATATATATGTTGCCTATATATATACTTCGAAGTATATATATATATATATATGTATATATATATGTCGGTTGTACTCTAGTACCTGCCAATGCATGACCCCACGAAGACTGTACGCCTCCTTCTCAGTCGGTTTGCCCTGGAACGCTGGCAACAGCGGCAGGACCACCATGACCCGGAACGGTTGGTTGGCGGCATGCGCGCGGAGGATGCGGCTCACGAGGGCATTTGCAATCAGGTTCTGGCACAGCGGGTCGCCTTGCATACTCGACACAAAGAATTGGTTCTACGCATGTAGTAGTTAGTACAACGACTAGTAACTACTAACTACATTTCATCGAGTGTACCTCGATGTACACAAAGTAACGCGCGTCATTGATGAGTCGAATGTAGGCGTTTTGGATGCTCTTCTCGGTGCGGCATCCCCCCGACCACATGGACAAGCTCCGGACGATCTGGCAATTGCACGCAAATCCTTCTGCCACGTCATCGCTGGCACGGTTCTCGTCCAACGCTGACGTTTGCACCTCGTCATCGAGTAGGTCTGTGGTGCCAGCGTCACTTCTTTTAGTTAAAGCTATGCCTTCCACTGTGCCAGTGTCTGTAGACGACACCAAGGCTGGAGGCATTGTGGTGGCGGAGGTAGATTCACTGAACCCCAAGACACACAACGCGTTGCCTGTGTTGTTGTTTATGGAGTTTCTGCCGTGGGGGGGCAAGTTGCTCGACAACGCCGTGGGTTTGCACCCCGTGGCCGGTACCAAGTGGTGGAAGCGGTGCATTTTGAACCGCGTGCTGACCGAGTAATTCCACCGCTGAATGAAATGCCGCGCCACGTCCTTGGCGGGTTCGCCAAACAGTCTGCGCCAGTATCAATCGATATTAATATATATATATATATATATATATATATATTCAAGGCAATATATCGATATACTGATGAAAGCCAATAATATTATTTATTTTGTACGACATACTTGCAGTGGCAGTCGTGCCAGGGCATGCGCGGGTTCAAGTTGCGATCCATCAAGTCAATGTCGGGGCGATGGACGTCCACAAAGTCCTTGATGCGAGGGTTGCTGTAGTCCTTGCCTGTAGAATAATACTTTGTATTTATAACTGTGTCGAGCTTCGATATATTTATTTTGAAGTATTTTATATATGTATATATTTATCCACATATGAATGCGTTATTTGACCATCAAACGCAGTCATAAAGAAATGTATCTTCAATATAATATAGTAGTATATATTATTTGCCCATCAAACCCAATCATACAAGACTGTGTAATAATGCTCCAATATATATATAATCGTTGCCCAGCAAATGCAATCATAAAAGACTTTCAATGATATATTCAATCCCAATCATAAAAGGACGACTGTGTATCCAAATATATTGAAGTTTCATTATATTTGGAGATGATTCTGTACCTGGAAACGTACGGGCCTTGGGCTCAAACAAGTCGTGGCGGGCGTTGTCCCACCGTCCAAAACACAAGTCCAACCCCCCGACGAACGCCATACGTTGATCGATGCACACAATCTTCTCATGGTGCGACCTACACAAGACAAACAAGGATAGGATATCGTTTATATACATGTGAATTCCCCCCAAGAGGTCATTCATAATGGCAGAGTTGATGCAAGTTCTATAGCACTAGTTGGGCTTTCGTACCATAACCCGAGTTGTTTCATGATAAAATCGGGATCTCTTAGCACGTGGATGTTGTGGTGGAGCTTTCGCAGTGTCTTTTTGGCATACTGGCTGTCCAACGTCAGTGCCATGGAGATCTCCTTGTACATTAATATGTAAATCTACACCATAACCCCCACACCGTTAGGTTTGCTTGACCAAGGTTCTTCAAACTCGAATTGACACTGTGATAGTACATGTAAGAATGCCAATGTATGACGACTGTACCTTGACGCCAGCTTGGGCTCGCCGTTGGAGCACCAGATCCAGTCGGGAGGCGTCGGTGGCGGGCCGCAGCAAGGACGTCGTGGGGCAGATCCACCATCCGGCAATGAAAATCTCCGTCTTGGCCGCGTTTATGGCTGCAAACATGGCTGCATACGTGTCTTCTCCGTCCACATACCTAATCAAATCACAACCATGTTGTCAAGTATATATATATAGCGTTCGTTGTAAAATGTATAGGCGCATTCTGGGTAGTCAACATAGAGGAGTGCAAGAATAATGCGAATAATACCCACTTCCTACAGATAGGTATATATATATATATATATATATATATCCTTTGGAGCACCAAACACTATGTTCAACGGAATGAAAAACCAAACGATGCTTGACAAATGGAGAGGAGTTGTGTAGAACATGTAGACATTTCATCGCTGTGATAATTATTCATAGGACATATTGGTAGCGTACCATTGCGCTCGAGATGACGTGTGAGGTCGGGGCATGGCGAAGGATCCGTCGCGGCGGTTGCGATGATGCGTCCACTCGCTGGCTTCTGCCGCCGTCCGGATCTGGTTGGCCCACTTGATGCACTCGTTCTTGTGCCGCGCTTGGCAGTGCAACACGAACGCCGACGTCGTGACGACAAACTCCTTGGCCGACCCCACGGCCCGAAGCCCCGTTTCCAGCTTGAAGCCACCGTCAAACAGCAACACATCCGTCGGGGTCAAGTCCTACAAATCAACGAACGAATCTCAAAAACTAATTAAATCTAAAGTACTAATAGTGATTCATAAAAAAATTCTAAAAACTAAAATACAATATTCTTTTACATTTTTTTTTATAACCTCATAACTAGCTAAAAAGCAAATACGAATGAACGAACGATGGAACGAATCCACGACGAGGTTAGTGAAAGAGCAGCTGCAATAGTATTATTTATTGTATCGATGCATTTGACTTGATCTTTGTGAGAATTCGTAATACATACACTCTCAAAATGGATAGTATAAACTATATACTTCGAAGTAGTATATATATTGTGTGGTCAAGGCCTTAATATTATAGCACTAGTATCATCAAGTAGTGGAACCAAGACAAAGTGGAGAGAGAGAATCCTCTTACTCGATTCGATTCGTAGATGGCCACGCACGAGTCTTTGAGCGCGACCCATCTCCACTGCGACGTGTGCCACGAGTACTTTTTCACGACGCAAAAGCAGTTGAAGCACCCGTTGTCGCACATAACTGTGCCACGGTGCAGCCGGACGTTGTCTGCCATTCATATAAAGGTCATGATTCAATAATATATCAATCTATAAAGGGTTGGACAATGCGGACCTTGGCTACCCTTGAGCCACATGCGCACCTTGAGCCAACCTTCGCGCTGTGACGTGACCACCCCCCCGGCGTCGTTGTCGAACGTGCCGCCGCTGATCTGAAGCAGCGACAGCACGTACGCCGACGACCGGACGACGGGAATCGACAGCGCCGCATTCAAGTACGTCTCGAGAAGAGAAATCATTTCGGGGGTCGTGGACGCCTGGGACGTGGCAAACAAAAAGTCGCGCAGCTGGGGCATCTCGACGTCGTCGACGGGTACGTTGTTGCTGGTGGTCGAGGTTTGTGGTGGTGGTGATGATGTGGAGGCGGCGGATGGCGGTGGGGTGCGGAGGTACCCGTGGCCTTTGATGTAAAACCACAACCGATACACGTTGCTCTTGGGGAGGTAGATCTCGCGTGAAATGTCCTTGTACCGTAGCTAGACACGAATGTACATCAATGGGTATGCTACATGTCCATAGGTTGGGAGGATGTAGATCTACCTTGACTTCAAACTCGACAGTCTTGACGGGCCAGTCGTCGTCGATCCGGACAGACTTGACCTTGACGGTGGGCGCATGCTCAAAGATCTCGAGCGTGTTGTCGGCATCTTGTCCATATTTGTTGCCACCAAAGAGCCACCATGCCGCCATCATGGACTTTCGCGGCGGACGTTTGCCAGGCACTCGCTTCGACGGACCACTGGTCGAAGTCATCGACGTTTCGGACAGTGGTGGATTTGGATGATCCCGTCGTCGTAGTTTCGTGTGAACCCAAAAATTCTGAACTGTTTATTGAAACCGCCGTTACATCAACAATATCCGGATGATAATTGCCGGATATTAGGCGACCTTTCGAAATCAGGATATATCGAACGCTTTGTAGTAGTACTAGTACACGCAAGGGACAGTTAAAGGTATGCCTCCATGCTCTTCACATGAGGTGGCTGCTTGATCCGTGCATCCATGCATGCATGCATCTCTACGAGCCGACCAAGGGGTCCCTAGCTAGACACTGTATATATACAGCCATGTCATGCCACTAACACGTTGGAACTTGTCGTCATGCTTGCCTCGTGAATGAACAGTATGTGTTTTCTAACCACCACTTCCCCACATGGCATCTCGATTGAAGATGGTAGTACATGAGAATGAATGGTGTGTCCACATTTAGCACTCGTCGACGACATTATTCTCACACATAGGTGTATGTACGTCGTTCTAGTTAGTGTACGCGGCGCATTCTGGGGCGGAATTCATCGAAAATGTCTTGCACGACCTGTTCCTGGTCGCTCAACGATGTCGTCGATAATGGTGGTAGTACATGGGAGGGCCACCCCAGGACGCCAAACACGAGCGTATTCGCTTCCAAGGGCAGGACCCACACTTGATCAAACACAGTCGCGAGGCGCGTCGCCAAGCCATCCCACCCCCCAGCCGACTCCAGGCTTCCAGTAGGCTTATGGCCGATGACGTTCATAGCTACCACTCCGCGGGGACCCAAGACTCGGCGAATGTTGTGCAGGAATTCCTTGGATGTCATCGAGGCCGGCGGCGCGCTCAACACATCGCCATGTTCCAACAGTTCATGCGTCGTGCCATCTTCGACGTCGACGACCACCAGATCCAGCAACTCGGCCGACGATTCAAGCAACGTTGTCACGAACGCGTTTCCCGTCTGCTTGTGCACGACCAACGCATCGGATGCATCGAAAAAATGGGTTCTATCCAGACGAAGTATATATATATATATTGTCAAGTCGATTCGAAATTGGAGTGTTTGGGTGCTCAATGAGCAGAATAACCAAATCGACAGACAATCGATGATCGACCAATCAAAAACCAGCATACTAATCAAGTAGCCAATCAAATTATCCACTCTTGGACCAATTCAACAATGAATTAGTGTGTGACTGAAATTAGTGTGATAACTACTGGACGATCTTTACAAAAGTCAGGACAAACAATCGAACGATAGATTTGGCAAATCTGCACAAAAGTCAGCCAAATTTTGGGTAAAAGGACAATATATATGTGTTTCTTGGCAAAGTGGAATGCAGAAGGAGAGGGAGGTGTACGTACCCAGCATATAACATGGCTGCGCTGGGCTCGACGACGTGGATGCGCACAGGACGATGGCGAGAGATGACATGCTGCCAGAAGGTTGGGAGGACGCTGGCGCCGGCGCCAAGCATCGCAACGCGCCAGGTTGGATCGGTTGCAACTGCGGACGGAGATGGGGAAGATGGAGGGGGGTCGTCCTGTAGGAAACCCAGGGCAACACTCAACCCTCGATGCACATCCAGTGACAAGTACGAGTGATCCACTGCCCCTTCCTATAGATATGTCATGGGTTGTTTAATATATATATATATTGGAATATGGTAGTATTGAATATATATATATATATATATATATGGGGAATGAATGACAAGAGATATATGTACAATGTATGCATGGACGTACGGGTGTCAAGAAGACTTCGCTTTGGACCAACTCGAGCCGATCAGTGAAATGTAACGACCGCGTGGGCGGCAAAGTGTCTACATCGTCATGGAGGACGAGTACAAAGTTGAGTGAGGAGCTTGTTAAGATGGATGAGCAGCATGCATGTAGTCTGGGGGTACCCAAGAAGCTATCGAGGACAACCACGTGCTCGTCTTCGTACACTACGTCGCGACGATACTTGTCGGCAACTTCCTACCGCACACATGGACACAAGATGCTTCGAGTTGATGGATGATGATGTAGGAGTGGTGGTTGGTGGGTCGATGCTTCTTTGGTGTACCTGGTCGAACGCATGCAGCATGTCGGGGTCGAGCTCCTCCACCAACGACTCGATCTCGCTGTACGTCATGCTTTCCCCAGACCGATGTACCTACCATTGACCTTACACAATCCATCGTATATGGTACATGGATCGACGTACTTCATGGATGACTGTCTCCTTGAGAATGCGATCATTAGGGACGATGTCTGCGTCGCTTGTTCGATCAAGGAGGACTCCCTCGCATTCCTTGGACGTGAGGGCCCAATCGTACTTGGAGATCAATTGCTGAGGCCAGAACGGATACGTCTGGCATTGCGTCGGTCGGACTACGATGCGCATGCCAAAGTTAAGGGCATCAATGCAATTGTGTCATGAGCATGTGCATGTGCTCCTCTTCTTCTTACCCGGATAAATGGAGCACTGTTTTCCTTCCAAGAAGATGCACTGGAGATCGTCGGGCGTTTGCTTGATCGAGTCAAAGTCGTCGCCGGGGTGCCGCCGCAGGAATTGTCGTCGGAACTCCCTCGTGGGGGTCGACAAGTGGTCAGCGATGGCTTCCACCTCCCGAGCATTCACACGGACCTTTCCTCCTTTTCCCGTGCAGCACTTGCCGCAGGCCGTGCATCGGAAAGCGACCTTGAACGCTCGCGTGGATGCACTCATGTTGCTGCTGCAGGGTGCGCCGTGGTGGCTGGATTTCCCGCCAGTCCGGTTAATTTGAAACAATCCGGATAAATATCCTCATGTGATTGGCTGACTTCGTATTGACAGCGCGGTAGCTTTACCGACACCAATTCCGACACACAAGATGATTGAGAGGAGGCATCAGCAGGGATGGATGTGGAAAGTCATCTTCGTAAGCGTCTTATCTGGAGTGGTGGGGTATCTGCTTCCGCTCTTGCTAACAGAATCGCCAGATCAGAGACGAGCAGCCCTCGTCGCGACACAGACGGTGCTGCTCCAGCGAGATCACACGATCCGGCAAAAGTTTGCAGGCCTCAAGACCGACCTGAACGCGTACGAGGTGGCGGTGGGAGACATCTGGAAGGTATCAGCCCTGCGTAAGCTGCGAGATGACCACGTGCTACGTGAAAGCCACGAACATTTGGACGCAATCAAAACGTCCATGTTGGAGCGGCGGGCAGCCATGGTTTCCCTTCTCGCCGACACCACCCGAAGTATCCACGATGCCATCAGCACCCTCCGCGAACACTCTGCGTATCCCTCGTCTGAGCATTGCACAGAGCACAACGTGCTGGTTGAGGAAGGCACGAAGCCACCTTTGGACGACACCATCACTCTGTTGGACCTTCCACCTACTACCCCGACCAGTTCACCTCCCGAAGCCTCGTCTGCACATAATAACGTCTTGCCACCACCCTCTAGCGTCACTCCGCCAACTCCGCCAGTGTCACACACGCCGCCAAGCCATCACGTGAAACCTCCGACGATGCCCCAACCCGTTCCATCACCAGCTCCAACGCCGCCATCGCCCCGCCAATTCCCCATCACATTCGGTCAAGCTGCGATGGCGTTTTTCACAGCTTTGGTGACGTTGGTGGCCTTTAGCCTCGTCAGCGAGCACCACCGGCGCGGAGCTGGCGGCGACGGCGACTACTCGATGATCCAAGGCTTCTTTTCCCCTCGGCAAAAGCAGCGCCCTCGTCCGCCATCCAACGATGCGGTACGCCATCACACTAATTGAAGTTGACCGTGATCCGGATATACTCAACTGGGTTTAGACATCGTCACCACGTACCCGAGCTCGTCGCCATCGCAACGACGAACAGCCAAGGGCCACGGCTAACGTGGACGAATTCATTGCCGAGTCGGGCAGCTACTATGACATGCAATACCCACAAGAGGTACACTATTTGATACCATGAATATACATCTGTTGACTTGATGATACATATGGGTTGCAGGGAAGTACCTTGACCGAAGCCACGCCCGTCCGGCGGTCGCGGCGGCTAGATGCCGCCGCTCACATGTCCTCGACGTACTTTTGAAAGACAAGATGACTGCACAAGTATTTACACGTGCGCGCCGTCTTGTGTCTATGTATCCTGGGCGATGATGTAACTTTGCTCGGGTACTGATCTCCATCGTCGACCTGGTTTGCTACCAAACATTCGTTCTGCGACAGACGCACTACAGTACTGTAGTACTTACATAGACCCACCACCCCAAAAAGTAACATGTAATTCAGTGCAGATATTTTACCCAAAATTTGGTTGACTTTTGTGCAGAATCGCCAAATGTATCGATCGATTCTTTGTACTGAATGATTTGTATGTATAAAGGTGTCCTGTGGTGATTGGTATCACACTAATTGAAACCGCACACTAATTCGACGTTGATGATGGTTTCCGGCAATCTGATTGGCTCAATTCTTTTGCCGATTCTTCTTGTGTACATTTGGTTGTGTCGATTCATTCTCCATGTCGCTCCAGTTTAGAATAAACATAACAATATTATTGATCTTTCGAGTGAAATTTCGTGTTGTGGCGTGGCTTCTCGTTGGTATTTAAATCGATTTGATTGGCTACTTCAGAAGAGCTCAAAATTATTAGCCAATCAAAACCTTCTCAATGAAATTCAACCAATCAGATCGATTGTGGATCGGTTTGGTCGGCGCGATTCGATATCGAGAATACTTACCTTTACGTTATTACTACGTAGTATTAGTAGCTCGCCCATACAATTAGGGTGACGGCATACATTTGCATGTACATTGTATATCTAGTGGCGAGGGGTTGGAGGTCCCGCTTGCATATAGCCAATCGGATTGCGGAAACCGTCATCCACATTGAATTAGTGTATGAATAAATTAGTGTGATTACTATTACCACATGACAACTTTGAAGCATGGCACTATGTAGTGCAACATTCAACGATTGTTAGCCCATATTGCCATGTTGCTCTGTGGTGAAACCGACGTTACGATGGTCGTGACAGTTACAGATTCACCCCCACGCTGTCGAAAATTGCACCATGCCGCCGCCCCCGTCAGAGGTGGTGCGGCATCGGGTGCTGCCAGAGGTGGTGGTTGGGTCGGCGGAGGTGGAGGGGGCGATCGTCCGCACCAAGGCCCCGTTGCTTCCGACGTCGGCGGCGGCACCGCGTCCCGATCGTGTCTACCACCCCAAGCACGCGTTGAACCACAACACCAAGCTCGGATTGGCTTGTTTGGCCAAACTCAAGCCCATCTTCTCGAAGCACGCGCACAAAGCCAAAGAGCAGGCGGTCAAGATCACGGCGCCGCAGCTGCGCCTGCCCATCCACGAGCCCGAGCACGTGCAGATGCTGCTGCGGACGCGCGATGTCAAGCTCGCGTCGCTCAAGACTCCCAACCACCAGTGGCTCGCTGTTGTTGACGACATGGCCAAGTTTATGGTATAGATACATATAATTATATATATTGCGATGACTACTGTACAGTACTAGTAGTACCCAAGTTTGAACCTCGAAGGACACGACTTGAGTACGAGTAACTTGGAGGCGATCGTACACACGACGAGATTGCAGTGGCAAGTGCAACCTCAGTATCAAAACCCCATGGACCCCAAATCTGGACACGAACGCATGTCCGACGAGGACCGCGTCAAGCACGATTTCGACCAAAAGCTCCAAGTGGCCGAGAAAATGCTACGGCTCCCGGTATGTAGTACTACTAGCTATGTAGATGTAGGTACTAGAGCTCAAACCATAGAAAAAATATAACTCTTCGTTCAAAGCAATCATGACCATCACTTTTCGACACGAGTAGTAAAAATCACCATCACTCAATCATGTGTCGTAGCTGACGACCCCACCGACAGTCCAAGATATGGACGAGTCGAACAGCGACAGCGACGACGGGGTACGTAGACTTCAGCGGCGTTGGCATCCCTTGTCTGTTTGTTCATACTAGTATGGTGGGTGGGAATGATAGGGTGGAAGGGGGAAGACCGAATCGCTGACCAAGATGTCGTCGGTAGAGTCCGATAGAGTCCCACTGACGATGTATGCTTGTCTGATATCGGGGGGTGGTTGTAGCCGACCAAAGCGCTCGTACTCAAATCCCTCTCCACTCGAAAGTACGTAATCCATCTGTGTGGCTGCCTGCTGTTACGTAAACATTTCACACACTAATTTGTAGGAAACTCAAGACGCTGGCCAAGTACACGTCCGAGACCGCCAAAACCGAGAAATACGCCAACAAGGTATTGTGCTTTCGAGTAAAATTTCATTGTGTGGTTGGTGGTTGGTTTCTCGTTGGAATTTAACTTGATTTGATTGGCTACCTCAGATGAGCTCAAAATTATTAACCAATCAAAACCTTCTAAATGAAATTCAACCAATCAGATCGATTGTGGATCGGTTTGGTCGGCGGCGCGATTTGCACCCCCTCCCCATATATTTGTATCAAATCGACAATATTCAATTCTTTAATTGAATTAAATACACAAACATCTGTTCTTTTAAGATACTGTGCTAACTATTACTTTGAAGTAATAGTTACCAGAATCAAAATTAAAGATAGAGTCAGCGGATGATATGTTGTTTACGCTGTGGTTAGACGGACATGCTAGCCAAGTGGTCCAAACTCCAGGCAAGTCGGGGCCACGAAACCCATCCAGAGCTGGCGCATCGACGTGCGCAGCAGACGAGTCGGCGGAGAAACGAGCGAAAGCACGCAGCCACGTCATCGTTCCCAGGATTCAACGAACTGTCCCCGCGGAGTCTGTACTTTGAAGAGTGCACGGCCGCCAACATCCTCCCCGAGCCGCTCCTGTCGCGCATCACGGCGGACCGGCGCCTGGAGTTGAGTCACTTTGGGCTCGGTGATACCAAAGCCATTGTACTATCCAAAAGGTACGTACTACCCACACCTGCATACGATTGCTATGAATATATATATATATATATGGAGTTTGGGTTGTAGTGCAATAATATGACGTTTGTAGTTTGGCCCTGATGCCCGACATTCAAGCCCTCAACCTCACCGCGAACCGACTCACCCATGCCGGCATTGCAACCGTCGTGCAACACCTCAGCGGTCGCGTGGAATTGCATTCGCTCAACCTGAGTGAGAACGAGGTAAAGTACCTAATTGAGTCTCCTGGCCATCAAATGTACCGAATTCCGGATTCGTCAAAAAGTACCTTTTCCATTGATTTTAATTCCTGATTCGTACAAAAGTACCGACTACCGAATGTACCGACTACCTAATGAATATATATATATATATGTATTCCTAAGTACAGACTACCTAATGGATACATTCCCAAGTACCAACAGGATGCAATGGTTGATAGATTGGCGAAGCCGGGTGTGCGTCGATGGCGGACTTCATATTTTCGGCACCGAACTTGACACATTTGGACTTGTCGCAGACGAAGCTCGTCGACTCATTCGAGTCGCTGGCCAACGAAATCGCCATCCATCCGCATTTGCTGTCAGTTAACTTGACAAACAACGAGATTGGCGACGGCGGCGGGCAGCTGCTGGGCGCGACGCTGGCCGCCGCCACGTGTACGATCCAAGACCTGAACCTGTCGTGGAACCAAATCTGCCACAGTGGCGCCACAGCCATCGGCCACGCGCTGCAGACGAACCGGTCGGTTCAGCACTTGAACTTGTCCATGAACCGATTCGGCGACGACGGCGGCCATCAGATCGCGGCGGCGCTCCTCGTCAACACGACCCTGCGCACGATGGACTTGACCCGCAACAACCTAACGGGGTCCACCGCTGTGACCTTGAGCTACGCGATTGAGCACAACCCGAAAGCGAAGCTGTACAACATGGTTCTGGTCGACAACCCGCTCGGATGTACGGGCACGAAGGCGCTGCTGCGATCGGTGGCCAGGGGCTGTCGCTGCAACGTCCGGCTGTCGTTTTACGACGGCGAAGACGCCAACAAAGCAGCTACGGTGCGCCGTGTGTTTGACTCGAGCTTTCCCGCCGCGCAGTCGCCGTACGAGCTGCACCTCCACACGTCCCCGTACGACTATGTGATTGCATGCGAGGTGGTCGCGGCGGCGGTGGCGCGGCGGTGCGAGCTATTTGACGTGTCGTTTGAACCGGCGACCGATGAAGTTGACCTTGAGCACCATGCGAAGAAGCATGCCGTGCAACAACCGCTCGAGTTCTCGGACCAGGTGCAAGGACTCGTGGAAAAAGGCTCGACCAAGCTGTTCCACCTGCGGCGGCGCGGCATCCTGCGCATCTCGGCGCGATACGTGCCATGGCGCATTCAGCTCACGAACGACGTCACCCCCGACGGATTGCGCAATGTCATCAAAATCATCCGAGATCGCATCTCCACCCGCGAAATGTGTTCCATGCTGGAGGTTCGTGCGTCGAATTGTAGAATCACATGAAAATAGTGAGTGTTACTTATATAGTGTGCGATTTGTGAATTGCTTTTACCACTATGCACAGTATGTGTGGGGTGGACCCTTAAATAGTGTGCGAAAAGGGTGTTGCATTGGATGGATGTGTAAATAGTGTGAAAGTGTCGTCAGGTTGTGAGGGATCGTCTAGGTGGCGACGACGGACCTGTTTCTCCATATTCGAGACGTCGACTTGTTTGTAAATGGACTCCTGGGGTCCATCGATGTTGTCGACGTCGTTGCTAGGTACGCTGGTGGTCTGATCGTGCGATTTGCGACGTTACCCCTTTGTAGGACACTGCCTTGTATCGTGGACGGCACGCAGACGCTTCCGTTTCTGCTGCGGCACTTGAGCTTTAGCGATCAAAATCGCCTCATGTCGTCGCATGGGGTGCAAGTGTTGCAGTTCAATCCGCTGAATCCGACGGGGAAATGGACGTTGGACATGTGCGATCGCATCCATCGCAAGCTGGCCGTGTGGTTCTCCATGATCAACCGCGATGAGGCTGCCGAGAGCGCGCGGCGGGTCGCGTATCGCGGCAACACGAGTCAGCGCGGCACGTATGCCAACTTTCGCAACGAAAAGTTCAACGGCAAAGCCATCGAGGTACTGTACTATTCCTCCATCGCCGTCGTTGCCTCGCGCCGCCCTTGGTCACATGCAGTAGTTGATTGTCCGTGGTTGTTCCTAGCTCACGGACCGCTTCTTCGACGGGTTGCCGGCGAAAGGGATCTTGGAATTTGATTATGTCAGCACGCGGCGCCCCGAAGATAATGTCGAAAACGGCGCCCCGACACCGGTGCTCCTCGAAGTTGAAGTGAACGCATTGCTGCAAACAATCGGCGCCGAGCTCTGGTCCGAGTACGTCCCCCAGCACAAGCGGTATGACCTGAAGCGGCAAGTGGTACTGCTGCAACATGCTCTCAGCGGTCTATACATCACGGCGGAGCATGTGCGCATGCTCATGCAGTACTTCCCCAAGAGCATAGACAACCTCCGACTCAAGGTACCATCTACATCATCGAACTTCCCTTGATGCGGCCTCACCCATGCGCTCGTCACTTACATGTCACTGAAGGCAGTGTTTGCCGCCCACCGATCCATCCTTGACATGGAGAACTTTGAAGGCGTGTATGAGAAGCTCCTCCCCGGCGATCGAAAAGCAGTCTGTCCTCCTTCGCTGTTGTCCTCTAGTCATGATCATCTCATCATGTTGTTGTGATGGTAGATGTTTTCCGCACTGGGGTACATGAATACATTGAATCCGCTGAACGTCGACATGGAATACGACTTGCCCATGGCGGACGCAGACAACCGCGTACGTGAAATGCCGCCTGTAGTGCATGTCTCATGATGGTGTCATGTACTAGTTGCTGGTGAGGACGCTTGTGGACATGATATCCAACGACCCGCTCGACTTGATCAAGTTGGACGACCAGAGCATCAAGGAAGGCCTGAGCATCTACTCGATGTTTTCTATAGCGAGCATTCCCACCAGCGGCCGCCTCGGACTGCGCTACATCACTCGGCCCAACAAGTTTTCAAGGGAACTCATCGAATCACGACAGTCCACCTTCCACGCGTTCCTCTTTGCCGGTCGACTTCACGAAAAGTATCGCGGCGTGGATCATGCCGAGGAAGGAGCAGGGGCGTCATAAACACATGTGAATATGGAACGGCGATATCGGTTGTATTGTCGTGATTATGCTTTGACTTCGTCTTCATCGTCCTCGGTGGATGGCGGCGCCGATGCGGCGAGGTTGTGCTGGTAGATGTTGCTTCGTTCATGTAGCACGAGTTTGATGCGCGCCATGGACTTGCGCACCTTGGACTTTCGGAACGGGTTCGGGAACACCATGTTCTTCGTGTGGCATTCGGCTTGTTCGGTCAAGAGCGCGTTGCGTTCCTTGAGCAGGACGTACCAGAGTTTGTGTAGATCGTCCGTGGACTTGTTGCGCAACATCCACGCCTTCCAGTCGCCACCCACAACGGGAGGGCCGCGCTTGACCTTTTTGCCATCGACAACGCCGCTGGTGGGGAAAAATTGGTCGATGGTGCCGGTTAGGGCCGCCTTCGTCGCGGTCGCAGCTCCCGACGCCGAGGGTTTCGCGAAGAGCGTCGCCGAGGACGAGATAGAGCGGGCGGTGAACGCGCTCGTCTGGACTTGGAGGACGCGGCGCAGCATGGGTGGAATTGCGTGAAAACCAAGTGTGGTTCACTGGTGTTGGGTTGGCCACGTCTTTTCGAGATATGATTGGTGGAATAAAAACTATATTTATCCAATCAATGATTTGTATTGGCGTAGTAAGCAAAATGTACTTGTTCGTATGCAACTAGACACTAGTATGCCTAATGTACTGTACCTGCAGAAGCCCCCAAACCGAAAGGAAATGGTCACCGTCTAAGCTATGTACACCCCAACTTAGTACGCACGTGATACATACGGGAGCAACTTGCCCACACATTTGCCTTGGTGCAAAGTTGTCCGTACTATTAATAGTATTAATACAGCAACCAAGTGTAACTTTCTGAAATGTATGAGGTATTGTATGGGTGACTTTGAAAACGAATATGTTTCGAAACACGATGGATAAACGAGCCTTTGACTGGTATTATCATGACCTTACTGCTACACTGTAATGATGACCTTACTGCTATACTAGTCATGACCTTACGGCTATAAAGTCCTAACGGTATAACGTAAAAAACCAATTTAAGATAACTTTTTTGGAGGCGTCGGAGTAGAATGGACATAACTTTTGAGTCCGTTACGATATTTGAGTTTTGAATAGTGATTCCAATAGCCAAGACGCGCCTCTTTGACTTCATAATCGAACTATCAGTTTAGGCGATGAACTTCACAGGTAAATTTGTTACTTTCTAAGCATTTGTACTCACATTTTGATAACCAATTTAGGATAACTTTTTTTATCTTAAAGTATGTATGTGTCTGTGCATTGAAATTCTATGTTTAGGGTAAGCGGTTACAACAGGATGCATATAATTTATACAAGGGTACTGTTTTATAGAGTTAAATTTCTGTTGTGGATGGATGTCCACTGAGTTTAACACTCGACAAAACCTCAGATCCAACCCAATGTGGCCCGTGTCGACTAGGGAACTTCAAACCCAATCTTGAATGACTATTACCAATGGCTTCTACGCCGTTTTTGCATTTCATTCGCGTACGTGATGGAATGGCCAGCATTATATGATAGAGGTTTTCGAACAAATAACGAGGTGTGATTGGGCAATACAAAGTTATCCTAAATTGGTTAAGTTATCTTAAATTGGTTTTTTACGTTAGTAATTACCTTCCTTACTGCTATAACGTTACAGTACTGTAGTAGTAGTACAGTAATGACCTTACTGCTACTGTATAGTAATGACCTTACTGCTATAAGCTGCTATAATGACCTTAAACATCCAATACCTTGTGCGAATTTGTACAAAAAGAAGCTGAAAAACACCCGTCCCCGCAAGGAATCGATCCCCGGGCCTTCCGCTTGTGAAGTACCTTGTACTTGGAAGAAGCTTCGATTGTCATGGATACAATCCGGATATTTATCCGGACCACCAGGATGGGTTTCGACAAGATACTTCGAAGTACAGTAGTCCCCCAGAATAGGGAACCTTTGATTCCGATACGTTTTAAGAGGTATCACTGCTTGCTCAGGTATAAAACTAAAAAGGTATTTTCGGAGGGTTCCTTGCTTCTGATTGGTCAATGTAATCGGATTGAAAAATGGACATCATTTTCGAATTCAGGAGGGGGTTGATATCCTAACTTAACTTCCACGATGACCATGACGATGTCCATCCGTCATAGGATTGGTGCGCTGCGAGCATTTCATGTTGTTGAAATATTTGACAAGCTGGTTGAAACGGCTGACGAAACTGATAAGAAAATTTCGCGTCACTCGTGAGCACTGCTCGAAGTTAGTCTGTGCGAAGCGTTGGAGTGGGCCAAGGAGACTTGGCAATCTGCGACGCAAGACACTATTGTAAATTGTTGGCGCCATACTGGTATTATTGACAAGGAGGTTTATGAGTTGATTGATAGTATGCATAGCCTTTAAAAAGAATGAAACGTGTTTGTTGGTGTGTGTTTTGTCTACAGGAGGTTGTCACCGTGACATTGTCGAATTTAGAGGGTCACGTGAAAGGCCAAACGAGCCCATCGACGCAATTCAACTCTTTTAATGGCAGCGCGTGACGCATGCTGCTTTAACAGTGTACGTTTCTGCTCGATTGTCAATCGTAGCCGCGACAACGGCGACGGCATGCTGAGTTCCAAGTGTGAGTGTCGCCAACATGTGTTAGATTATTTGCGTGGTTAATTTACAGTTAAATAAATTGAATGTACCTCTCGGATTTTATGATTGATTTGCATGCAAATTTATGTTTTCTGAGAGGATATAGATTTATGGTGGGTTCCTTATTCCGGGGGACTACTGTATGTGTCAAGCAGGACAGAAGCAAGTTGTGACTCATCTGCATATTCAATGCAAAATCAGCACAACTACCACGGCAGCCCTATCAACCGCGCCATCACCCTTCACATCGAAGGCTGGAGGACGAGGCATTATATGTTACTTTCACGGTTGGACATTACGATGGCCTAGATCTTGGGATGATGGAGTGTGCTCTCGGAAAAAGATTATTTTCGAGCAAAAGACGACATTTTAATGTCCTAGCTATTGTATCCAATAAGAGTCCACGACACTTGGTTTCGTGCACTCCATTGGCTATAACACTGGCAGTTGAACTCACCAAAAGCTAAGCAAAATCATGCATACATATTTTAAGCTTAAACTGTCCATCCTATTTTGCCTTGATTTGATGACAACCTTTCGGCTTCACGCAGCACTTTGCAGAATTGAAATCCCCGTCCTGAGAGACGAATATGCAAGCTGCATTCGACGACGAGGTCTGTGTCAAGTGCAGCATAAATTGGCCATCTTGGTGATTTCACCTTGCTTACTCTGGTTAATGGATTATCTCGGAGCGAGGCCTCAGAATGGAGCAATGAAATGCTCCACCTTGGCCGTCGTCGGCATCGTCGCGGGTGGCATGCCATTGGACGTTCTCGACAAGGGAATAGGATTTCCCCCAATTCGGCGACGATCCCCTTGGTATATACTAGTGTTGATCAAGTGAATGTGATGCATGTACATATGACGTCCATCGCAGAAGCGTCCGACTATTCCATGCCGCTGCCGCCGCTCCTTTTTTAATGTTGTGGCAATCAAAATCCACGAGTGTCACGATTTTAATTATATAGATATAATAATTGATACAAACATAAAGATAACACTCTTGACTATGAAAATTATTGTCAACACTAGCGGTATTGTATTATTATTACCAATACCGTGATCGACACAAGAAGGCAGACGTCACACCATCATGCTTGGCCGCTTCTTTACCAAGAAGGACGAGCCGAAGAGTTCTCGCCCGCCGCATGCAGTGGGTCCACCACAGCCGCGTCCTGTCGCCACGGAAGACTCGAGCGGCGGAGGCGGCTTCTTCAACCTACCCCCTCCCGCCTCGGGGAATCCAACATCATCGTTGCACCAACCCGGTGGGTTTACCAACCCCAACAACGTTTCGTACAACCATTCGCCAGCGAAAGTGCCAACGTTGGGAGGAGGCAGTCAACCTCCGCCGCCTGCATCTGGCGGCCTCAATCCGAATAACCCGTACCAACGACCCCACACTTCGGCGCCGCCTTCCCTTTTTGGAGGCATGAGCGTCAAGTCGTCATCGAACGACCCACCCGTCGCTATTCCTGGTGCCATACAACCTGTCCATCCTGATGCGAAGCCCTTGAGTCTCTTTGGCGGGTTAGAGCTAGGAGGTTCGGCCGCTGCCACGTCATCGGCGGCTGTCAACAACACCCCGTCCTCGAATCCTTCGCCGTTGAGTTTGTCGGCGCTGAATCTTCCCACGGCGACCCCGATTCCCACAGCAGACGCTCCAGTCAAGCGATCGCAGCGCGGATCGTCGGGCTTCAACTACTTGGACGTTGCGCCACCCGACGCTTCCACCACGTCGGCGGCGCCCACTGCTGTTTCATTATCGTCCACAGCTGTTCCAGTGGTCAAGAAGAAGAAGAAACCCACGTTCCGCCCTGGCTTTGGCCGACAACTCTCGGACGAAAGCGCGGCGGCACTTCAACGCGGCGATCTAAAGGACGAAGACATTGTCCAAGACGTCCCATCCACGTCCCCCCCCATCACCCCCACGCCCCCCTCGACCAAATCGACGTCTTCCTCGTCATCCTCCTCGATCCTCGGCGGACTCAAGCTCCACACCCCTGCCACCGACAAGCCAATACCCACACTCGGACGCAAAGGATCTTCCACTTTGAGGTATATATATATATATATATATATAGATATATAAAGGCAAAAGAATTATATATAACTCTTTTGCCCAAAATTTGGACTTTTGGGCTGATTCGTCAAATGTATTGATCGATTCTTTGTACTGAATTTTGTATGTAAAAAAGGTGTTTGGTATCATACTAATTGAAATCACACATTAATTATATGTTGACGATGGTTTCCTGCAATCTGATTGGCTAGATATATCCTTCTGCCGATTCTCTATATATTTGGTTGTGTCGATTCATTCGCCATGTCACTCCAATTTCGAATCGACTTGACAATATACCCTACTCTTTCTCTCCATATTATTATCCACGCAACTTGATACAAAACATGATGTTGTATATGGAATCTTTATATATATATGGATCTCTCTTCTCAACACATGGTCCCGTCGTGGTAGCGCCGCCCTTCCCGCCGAAGACTTGAGCAGCTTGCTGGCAAACATGACCATTCGCAACTTTGCGACCAACACAGCCACAACCATTCCATCGTTGGTCAAGGCACATTCCCAGCGCGCTTCCATGAGTCCGCGCGGCAGTCCCAGCAGTCCCCGCGCGTCGCTGCCTTCATTTGCCCTGCATGCTTCTTCTTCGTCGGCCGCTAATACCTCATCCCCCGCCCTCCCCCCGTCGACGTCTGCGGAAGACCGCGTCGCGGCGCTCGCCCGAGACTTCGACGTGGCCGCGACGTCGTTCCGCAACGGACTGGCGCAGCTCAAGGGCGAAGCGTCGCACATTGTCGAGCGGCGGACGATGCTGGCCAAGCAGATTGCGCAGTTCAACTTGGACTTGCATGAGGTGGAGGCGTCGCAGGTGCAGGCGGCCGAGGACGAAGACTTTGAGCGGGCGGACGCGCTCAACGCGACGATTGAAAAACTGCGACACTGTTTGATGCTATCGCAGAGCGATCTGCGCAAGTGTGAGCAAGACAGCGTGGGCGTGACCAAGCAGACCGAGAAGCTCGTGCTCCAGCACGTGCGGAGTGCCAAGGGAACGTGGAACAACCTGTCCAAGCTGGACGACGAGCGTACGGCCGCATTGGCGACGCTCAAAGCCCAAGCCAAAGCGTTCAAAACCACGGAACGCCGCCGATTTGCGTTTGAAAAGCAGCGCGTGGCCACCGAATTGCATCACGTGACTGTCAATATGGACCACTTGGACAGCGAAAAGGCCGAGATCGAGGCGGCTATTGCTAGCCAGTGCACGGACGAGTACGCCGCGCGCGAGCATCTTGTGACCGAGCAGGCGGCGGTGGCGGCCGACATCGCCGCGTTGGAAGCCAAGTTGGCCGCGTGTCGAGCGCACATGGCAGAGCTGGACGCGGGCCTCGCCAAGGCGGACGAAGGGATCCAACTTGTGCGGCAAAAGTTTAGCCGGCAACTCAAGCGACTGGTCGAGCGCGAGAAGAGCATCCTCAAGACGAGAAAGGAGGTGGAAGCGGACGAAGCCGCCATGCACCGCGCGCAGGAAGGGTTTGAAGCTGCCAAAGCCGACTTTGCCGGCCAGTTGGCGGCGCTCGCCGGCCAGGCCGCCAGTGTCCGGCGGGACCTGCGGGTCGCGGCGATCGTGGTGCGGGTGGCCGAGGAACAGAACTCGACGCGCCAAGCCAAGGAAGACCGCGTCAAGCGCATGGAGTCGCAGCTCGCGAGTCTGCGGGACCAAGTGCAAGAAGCAGAGAAGCAGTGGGCCCTCGTCAAGCACCAGCATGCCGACCTGAGCGCCAAGTTGACGGGGTTTCGCACGCTGATTATGACGGCGGGCACGACACTGCCGCTGCTGGAAGCCGACAAGAAGCAGGCGGCGGCCGACCGCAACTTCAAAGAGGCGGCGCGGCTGTCCAAGGACATCAAGCAGCTCGAGAAGGACCGCGCGGGCGCCGACGAGCAGATCGAAGTGCTGGGTATGGAGATCCACGACGTGGACGCGCTGATTGTCGACAAAGAAGCGGCGTTCACGGCCGCGACGGCGGCGTTCCAAGGTGCGGAGAAAGAGCTCGAGCTCGAGGCGCTGCAGGGGCTGTACGATGTACACCACGATCTGCGCGTGGTGCTGCGGCAGCTCACGTCGGAAGACCCGTCTCGTGCCAAGACGGACGCGGCGGAGGTCGTTGCGCCGTCGTTGCTTCGACCGATTGCGTTGGCGCTGGTCCAAAGTGAGTTTGATCATGTGGTGGCTGAGATTGAAGTGCTCGAAGACAAGTACTTGTTGGAGCCATATGTCAAGCCCTTGGAACCCCCCGACGAGGTGGACGATGCGAGTGGGTTGGTCACTACTGGATGGAGCGACAGTGACGATGACGACATGGAGGATGACAAGGAGGGACCTGGTCCGTCGGCCGAGTCGGCGCCGCCAAAAGCGGCCAGACTGGTGGACGTGGGAGCTGGACGGTCGGGAAGTGCCGCGGTGCACATGACGCCGGCGGCATTGGCGGCCAAGATCGCCGACGTGGAGGGGCAGATTCAAGTGGCGACGGACGAAGAAGACTACGAACTGGCGGCGCAGCTGGACGAGCAGCTGGAGACGTGGGTGGCACGGCTCGCGGCGCTCGAAGCAGAGCAGGCGCAGGCGCCGAGTGAAGTCGACTTGCGCGCGGAACTCGAGGAGCTGCAGCATGCGATCGAGGCGCTGGCGGGCCAGATTGAACATGCGACGGACGAGGAAGAGTACGAGATCGCCGCGCATTTGGACGAGGATCTGGTCGCGGCGCAGACGCGCAAGACGGAGATCCAGCTGCAATTGGCGGCGATGGAAGGCCCCGTCGACGACGACGACGACGGCAGCACGCATCATGTGTTGCACGACGACGCGAGCGATGGCGACCATGAGAAAGAAGATGAAGAGGACTTGGAGGAGCAAGGGCCGGCGGACGAAGCATCGCCCGTGGACGAGACGGACGAGAACACGGTGCCCGAGGAGGACGTGGAGAGCTCCAGTGAACATGCTGCTGCCGAAGTTTCTGCCGAAGTTGCTGCAGAAGTTACCGACGTTTCTGTGGAGAGCTCCAGTGAACATGCTGCTGCCGAAGTTGCTGCAGAAGTTGCCGAAGTTTCTGATGTTTCGATGGGGCCTGTGATTTCGCTGTTTGCAGGGCTACACACTGTCGAGACGAGTCCGACGACCGAGTCGGAAGGACGAGGTCTGGGCGGGAGTTTGTTTGAGGGGCTGGCGGAACCAGCGCCGGCGGCACTTGCCCCAACGTCTACCACGTCATCATCGTTGTTTGGCGGGTTGTCCGTGGCCGAAACAGCAGCAGTAGCAGCAGCAGTAGCACTTCCAGAACAGGAGGACGATGTGGTTGAACAAGTGGAAGACGAGGTCCAAGTAGATGAAGGTCCAGAGGAAGTTGCCGCCAACGCCGCCGATGAAGACGAGGAGGCGACCCTTCCGGTGAAAGAAGAAAGCGACGACGATGCAAAGGATGGGTCGGACGACGAATATGACGAAGGAGTCCTCGTGGACGACGAGCCTGTGGAAGAGATGGAAGGTGACATTGAAGTAGATGACGAGGATGGACATGACGGTGCTGCGGTCGAAGGGCCGTCAGTTCCTACTGCTGCTGCTGCGGATTCTGCGGTTGAGGTGGACGTATCGCCGCCGACGTCGTCGTTGTTCGGAGGACTTTCGCTTGGGACTCCAGTGGTTGTCGACTCGGACCAAGACGAGCCGTCGTCGGGTGCACCCACGACCACCTCCACAGCCAGTCTGTTTGGAGGGCTGTCGCTGCAACCCACGGCACCCGTGTCCTTTGTGACACTGGACAATGCGCTGGAAGGCCCTCGATCCCCGACGGCGTTTGGGTCGCTGTTTGGTGGATTATCCTTCTCAGCTCCTCCTCCATCATCGTCCGACTCTGTGCCGGCAGCCATCGCCGTCGGCGCAAGTTCATCGTTGTTTGGTGGATTATCGCTCGCGAGTGGTCACACTGCGCATGACGTGCCAGCGGACGAAGCTCCCGTCCAGGCCTTGGATGCGCCCGTCGACTCGACGGCCGCCGCCGCCGTCGTGGAATAACTGATTAGAATTTGTTGGATTTTTTGTCGCCGCGTTTGTATGATTTCGATTGGCTGATAGTTTTCAGCATTTTAGCCAATCAACAGCGTTAAAACAGCCGCCATTGACTGGACATGCAACGAATATTCGGCCACAATTTGCCAACCTTCCTCGCAGCAGCATGAGTAATTCCTTGGTTCTCAACACTGAAGGCGTGTCCTTGGTCAACATCCACCCCGTGGTGGTCTTCCAGATCCTGGATCGCTACCTCCGCCGCGCGGAGGACCAAGAACGCATCATCGGCACGCTTCTCGGCGTGGTCGATTCCGAACATGGCGTCGTGACCGTGAGCAACTCGTTCCCGGTCCCGCACTTGGAAAAGGGCGACGACGTCGCCGTGGGCAAGGACTACCATCGCCAAATGCTTCTTCTGCACCAACGTGTGAACCCGAACGAAGTCGTCGTCGGGTGGTACGCGACGGCGTCGGCCGACGGCAGTGTCGTCAACGAGAACTCGTGCTTGATCCACGACTTTTACAGCGCCGAATGCGCCGCCCCCGTGCACATCGTCACCGACACATCCCTCCGCGGCGACAACTTGAACATCTCGGGCTTCATCTCGTCCGCGTTGACCGTGGCTGACGTGGCACTTGCGAACCAGTTCAAGCAGGTCAAGGTCCAGACCAAGACGTACGAAGCCGAGTCCATTGCCTGTACGTCCTACCAGCATCATGTTCTTCCATCTCTTGTACATGCTCATGTGTATCTATCTTGTAGTGAACGTCATGGCCAAGGCGTCGACAGCCGCCTTGTCGTCGCTCCCCACGGAACTCGAAGCCCTCGAACACTCGATCGCGCGGCTGCACGCGCTCCTCGGCCAAAGCGCCGACTTTGTGGGCAACGTCGTCTCGGGCGCGTCTGTCGGGAACCCCAAGATCGGCCGGGAGCTGGCGGAAGCCGTGGCATCCATCCCTGCGATCCGGACGGACGTGTTTGACCAGATCTTCAACAATGGCCTGCAGGACCTGCTCATGGTCTCGTACTTGTCGAGCTTGACCCAAGCCCAGCTCAGCATTGCGGAAAAGCTCGTCAACGCGTAGAAGCCCCCCGTCGTTCGTTAGGTCTAATCTATCATGCACCCCCGTCTACGGGGCACTACTACATGCATCCATTGCGTCATCAACCAAGTGATAGGATTGCATCGACACAACATTCCATAGGGTACATGGACAGACCTAGCAGGTGTAGTTACAGGGGATGATGCCACGTCACCGAGGCGCTTCTAAATCGACAGAGGAAGTGTACTAATACTACTAGTAGTATGTACTAGTCCATATATTCCATATATCATTCATATCGACGACGACGACCTTCTTCTTCTTGCAATCCAACCCCCCCCCCTCCAGCAACCAAGCCCCATACATTCTAAAGCAACCATTCTCTCTCTTGCATACTACAGACTGCTCACCCCCGTCACACATGTACTGTATACCACCAATGTATGTATTGCAAACTAACCGTTTTCATTGCTAGCTACTAGTACTAGTTAGTAGTCCTACTAGTCCGACACGGCCGCCGCCCACACGATCGCAGCGATGATCGCCGCCACGGCACCGACGGCGGTGGCCACAAGCAGCCGCGTCTGGGTGCGCGTGATGGGCGTGCCCGCGGCTTTCATGATGCGAGCGCTGGCACTTGTGTATGGCATGTACCGCTGGGGCAGGTCGAACCTGGTGGTTTTGCGCACCACGGCCTTGTGGTGGCTAAACGTCAGAAACGAATGTTTGCCGTGGTACGCGCCCGTGCCCGAGGGGCCGACGCCGCCAAACGGGAGGTGGCTATTGGTGATCTGGATCATCGTGTCGTTCACACACACGCTGCCGGACGACGTCTGCCCCAGCACCGGCGCAACCACGTCTCTGTCGTTGTTGGAGAAGACATACAGCGCCAGAGGTTTCGGGCGGGCGTTGATGAAGCCAATCACCGCGTTCAAGTCGGTGTACGCGACGATGGGAAGCACCGGGCCAAACAGCTCGCCGCGGGTCAGTGCCGCGCTGGCCTCAAACGATGCCACGTCATGGCCAAAGTGGAGCACAGTTGGCGCCAGGTACCGCGCCGAAGCGTCGCCACTCCCGCCGCATGCCACGAACGCCTTGTCGGCTTCCACGACGGCCGCTAGCCGCGCATATTGCGCCGCATTCACCAGCCGTCCGTACGAGTCGGACGTTTCCGGCGACGATCCAAAGAACGACTGGACGTTGGCCACGACTGCCGACACAAACTGGTCCGCCACCTAGTGTTTGCCATCTTATGAGAAACAACTGAAAAACTCATGGGAATATGGTCGTACCGATGTATGCACAAACACATAGTCGGGTCGGATGCACGTTTGGCCGCAGTTGGCAAACGCGCCCCACGCGACCCGTGTCGCCGCCACTTGGATATCCACCTTGGCGTCGACAATGCACGGACTTTTCCCACCCAGCTCCAACACCTATATATATAAATATATATTTATAACGTTATGACCCTTTGGAAAAAATATAAAAATAAAAAATAGAGGTTTTTTTTTACTCGACGATTTCTGTATAAGAAAATATCTTGATTTGGAGAAAATATATAAAAATCAAAATACAGCCATTGTCGATTTGATACAAATTTGGGGAGGGGGTGCAATCGAATCGCGCCGACCAAACCGATCCACAATCGATCTGATTGGTTAAATTTCATTTAGAAGGTTTTGATTGGCGAATAATCTTGAGTTCATCTGAAGTAGCCAATCAAATCGATTTAAATTCCAACGAGAAACCACGCCACAACACGAAATTTCACTCGAAAACACAAATAGCTAGCTCCACGTGAACAAGTCGTTGAGAGATGGAGAGTTGGAATACGTACGATGGGGGTGAGAGTCTCGGCGGCAGCGCGCGCTACAATCGTGCCGATGGTGGTGCCTAGAAACGACTAGTAGGCATGGAGATGGATAGCAGTCTTCCCGTGAATGTATACAAAGTCCAAGTATAGTGGATACAGGAACAAGCCAAAAATTGTATATGACGTACCGCCCGTGCAAAAGATGAGGTCGAATTTTTCCGCGAGAAGGGCAATGTTGGCGTCGATGCCACCGGCGACGTAGCGCACGACGTCTTGGTCGATGTACTTGTCCAGGAGATATGCGAGGGCCGCGGCGGTGTGGTCGGAGGTGCCGTCGGCCGGCAGGCGAAGGAGGGCGGTGTTGCCGGCACCGATGCACCCCACGAGCGGCGTGAGCAGCAGACTCACGGGGTAGTTCCACGTGCCGATGATGCAGCAAACGCCAAGGGGGTCGCTGACGATGGACGACGAGCCGGGGAAGTTGATCAGGTTGGTCGGGACCTTCTCCGGGGCGGCCCAGTCGTCCAGGTAGTCGAGGAACTCTTGGATTTCTTGGAACACGCCGGACAGCTCCATCATGTGCAGCTCCGTGGGGTGCTTGTGCAGATCCTTCATGACAGCAGCTTCCAACAACGGAGTGCCTTCGGTGACAAGCGTGCGGATCTGCCGCAAGATGCGCTTGCGGGATTCGACGGCGCGCAGTTTCCCTTGGCGGAACGACGCGCGGAGCGTCCCCAGCGACGCTTGGATGCTCTCCTTCGTGGAAGGGGCAACGGTAGCGGGGACGGATTCGAACTCAGAGGCGAGGGGGGTTTTGGTCGTCATGGTGTCGTAAGATCTGATGGTCATGCCACGAGTGCAGAAATGCCACCGGCGGCATGTTTCGTCGATCGCATCAACAATCGCGCCCTGTAAAAGACAAATCAACCACCTCAGAACCAATGGTGAGAAACTAAAACTACAAATACAAAGCATTTAAATATATGCTGTGATACAAGGTTTATTTATTATAAGTAAAACAGTGTATATAAATTGAGTTAAGTTTATTGTGCTCGTTGATAAATAGTACTGGAAATTGTATGTTGTTTTATTCGATCGTGAAATCAACGGGGCATCGGAGCGCACCGGCCCAATCGGTTGGATTGACTTAATTTTACTATGGGTATACACATACACCGGTGTACAATGTTGAGTATTTTAACGCATCGTGTCGTACTCATCACAGATTGCGGGTAAAAGGGGCTGTGAATTTAATTCCCGGCCAGTAAGTCACTTGAATAATGTATACCTGATTTGGGTGACAAAATCCTCAGAACCTCTTAATAATGATATGTATAAATATTTCAAGTAATTAAATTTAGAAGTGCAACTAATATAAAAACTGTATTACATGTTGGACAAACAGAATATTAAATCTTACAAGTATGTGATACAAGAGTACGTAATTTTGTCCTATCATCGTCCATGGATGATTGTGATTGGCCATTTGCTGGCCGGGAATTGCATGCTGGCCGGGAATTACATGAATCACCTTAACAAACAGTACATCCTGAGTATATATATCCCGATTTTCAGTTAATATCCCAGTCAATAGTACTCTAGAGTTTATATACGGTAGTACTCCAGCTCGAGTTTGCATCGTATGGCGATCCACTACGAATTGCCTTGGTCTGAAAGAGCATGTCGAACTTGCACGCAAGGTAGTAAATGTTATAATAAAACTTTCAGCTATAATTACCGCGCATACCTGATAAAAACAACTGAGAGTGATTTGATTGGACATATCTGGTCAGAATGGGAAAGTTCTCAACATCATTTATGGAAGTGCTCAAGTAAATAAGGTATTCTCTACTTGAAAAATAAATAACTAATGATAACCAGAGATGTGGATCAACCCACTTCTCAGATTCAGTATCGTACCGTGTACCTAGTACTAGTATTTCAGGAACGAAAAAAGTGACGGGGGAGGTCCCCAATTCAGACTGCAGCATCCTCGAGCCACAATCAACCGAGAGGGCGCAGACTTGACCCCTGTTAAAACGGTCACATCGAGAATTTTGTCCACTGAAATACACTATCAAAGCTTGTCGTCTCTTGCATCTTACAGGTAGCTTGAAGTAGCGATGGTCGCACCCAAACACCCTTCTTGCCTCAGCGCTCTGATTGTCTCACGTTGTCGCAGCCATTCATGCACCAATAAGTAGGGTCAACTTCCCACGGCGATACATCTCCACCGCACGCTCCCTGGAGTTTCTCATGTAAGTACTGTCCAAGCACTGTGATGATAAAGGCGTGAAACTCATACAAGTCTGCTTGAAAACAAAAATCCGGTTGTGTCCGGATAACGGACCAAATCGAGATTGACGCGCCAAGTTCAATCCGACGGGTGTAATCTGATTTTGTGTTTTAACTTGGACTTTGTATCGGCAGTCGACGTCGACACCAATGTTCCACGTCTGTTAATCGGTTTTTCGCTCCCGTTGAGTTTTTGTGTGGTGGTATTATTTCTCGATCGAACACTTCAAGTCTACACGATGATCCCGACACGTCGCGCCGCCGTCCAAGCTGTCCGCCAAGCAACCAACCAAGGAAGAGTCCTTGGGCAAGCGGACGTCAGTGAACGATGCATGAGCACGCTCAAGACTGCGGAGGAGTTTATGGCGCGGGAAGACAAGTATGGCGCGCACAACTACCACCCGCTGCCCGTGGTGCTGAACCGCGGCAAAGGTGCGAACCGCACCCCTCGTACATCGTCCTGAGTTCATGTGTTTGCAGGTGTGCATGTGTGGGACATCAACGGCAAGAAGTACTACGATTTCCTGAGCGCGTACTCTGCCGTGAACCAAGTACGTCGCATCGTCGCCGAATCTATCGCTAAGATGGCGGTCGTTATAGGGACACAGCCATCCTCGTATCATCGCCGCGCTGGTAGACCAAGCGTCCAAGCTGTCGCTGACGTCCCGTGCCTTTTACAACGACGTGTTGGGCGAATACGAAGAGTTCATTACAAAGTTCTTTGGCTATGATCGCGTACGTCATCTCGGGTTGTATGCGTGTATGCGATCGCTAACGACGTGGCTTGCGTATTCCGTAGGTGCTGCCCATGAACACGGGCGTGGAAGGCGGCGAGACGGCCATCAAGCTCGCCCGTCGGTGGGCGTACGAGAACAAGGGCGTGGCGGAAAACCAAGTACGACGCATCCATCCCCCCAACCACACTGATCAATTCCCGTTGTGCATTAGGCGCGCATTGTGTTTTGCCATGGCAACTTTTGGGGCCGCACCATGAGCGCGATTTCGTCGTCGGATGACGAAAATGCATTTGCGAGTCCGTCGTCCATATATATATATATATATACTTGTTTGTTTAAATAGTGGAGGTTTTTGATATTATATTATTGGCTAGAGTTTGGGCCGTACATGCCTGGGTTTGACAAGGTTCCGTACAACGACATTGACGCCCTCCGTGCCAAGTTTGAAAGCGATAAGAACATTGCCGCGTTCATGGTCGAACCTATCCAGGTGACGACGTGTATACCCGTACATGTACCTCTAAACAGCCAGGATCTTCCTTGTAGGGCGAAGCGGGGGTCGTGGTGCCCAAGGACGGATACTTGCGCGAAGTGGCGGCTTTGTGTAAGAAGCACAACGTGCTGTTCATTGCCGACGAAGTGCAAACGGGGTTGGCGCGGACCGGCAAGATGCTGTGTGTCGACTACGACGGGGTCAAGCCGGATATATTGATCCTTGGCAAAGGTACCTACGTCTATGTCGTCGAACTCTATATAAAGTCATTGGCGTCTCATAACACGGTATTTGGTGGTAGCGCTGTCGGGAGGCGTGTACCCCGTGTCGGCTGTGCTCACGTCGGACGAGATTATGCTCAACATCAAGCCCGGGCAGCACGGGTCGACCTACGGCGGCAACCCGCTCGGCAGCCGTGTCGCGATTGAAGCGTTGAAAGTGCTCAAGGAGGAAAACCTCGCCGAGAACGCGTTTACGCTGGGCGCAGCGTTCCGTGCCGAAATGAACCGATACATGTACGAAGAAGGAGGAGGAGGCTAGATATATATGTGTGACTTATGCGACACGGATCGAATAGCGCCGACACGCCAGGTGTGTGCTTGGGGGTGCGCGGCCGCGGGCTCTTGAATGCTGTGATCATCAACGAACGTCCAGGCAAGCCGGACGCGTGGGACCTGTGCCTGACCCTCCGTGACAAGGGTCTCCTGGCCAAACCCACGCACGGCAACATCATCCGACTGGCGCCGCCGCTCTGCATCACCAAGGAACAAATGGACGACTGCGTGTCTATCCTCAAGGAAGGGTTGAAGGCCATCGAGTAAAGCAAGCCTAACTACGATGGGCAGCACCACTACTTAGTATGCTCGTGCAAGAATAGAAGCCTCTTTGTGGATTGCAGAATGATACTGTAGTACAGTACATAGTCGATCGCTACACTGTTTGCTAAAGTATATTAATACCAGTACTACGTATTAATAATATTAATACCAGTACTAGGTATTAATAATATTAATAATAGTACTACGTAATACTGTCTGTACCAGTAGGTGGTATTATTATAATACTGTCGCAAGTATTATTAATACTACTTTTTGGACGGATTTGCGAAATGGTCCAATTTGTATCGAATTTTAAGAATGGTTTTGAATTTGATTCAAAAATCGGGAATCTAACCGATCATGTTGACCAATCAAACGACGTGCAATCCTCTTATCCAATCAAATGAGTCAGAGTAGAATTTTGAGAGAATTACAACCAATAATATGGCGCTTCTTTCAACCAGCAAACCTTCGTTCCCATTGACGACAGACCATGGTGCTGTATGTCCTGTATGTGAAGGCGGACTTGGACGCGATTGATTTGTGGGAGTTCCCTGTGAACCACCGATGGTGCTTGGACATTAAGGAGCCCACGAGCGAAGAGAAGCGTGAAGCCGTGTGGGTGTGCGACGACGAACTGCTGGAAGTGTCGGGCGGCCGCGGCGAGGCGCATTTCTTGATGAAGTGGCCTGGCGCGAAAAAGGAAAGCCAGTTGACGATCGTCCGCGACGTGAAGAAGCTCACGCGCCCCATCAAGGGAGAAGACTCGGGCGAGTTCGTCCCTGTCGTGGGCTTTGAGTGCCGCGGCCTCGAACCCGTGGTGTGGTACCCCGAAGGCGGGTACACGCTCACGTCTGCGGGCGGCACGGCCACGTTCCACGACGTCAACTTGGCGGAAGACTGGTCCGAGTACGACGAAGATGGCGAACAGGCCGTGGGGATTTACTCGATCGAGCACAAGTTCGTCGTGGTCAAGGAAAAGAAGTAATCATTGCTAACCTGCATCATACCAGTCTACACTAAGCTCTCTCATGGCGCCACGGATGCTTTAGCCGACGAGAGGGTGACCGCGGGGGCATTTTGCTCGGCCTCGTCTTGGTTGTCTTTTTCGTCTTGTTCCTTCTGCACATCTTGGAACACATCGCGCAAGAGCGAGTCGAAGTCCCATGCATCGTCATCTTCTTGAACCTACATTTTGTTTTCCATGGGAATGAATGTCGCCTTTATATGGTGTGATGGTAGTACAGCTTTCTGGGGGCAGAGGAAACTGGTCAGGATTTGCAGGTCCACGCCGGCAGTCTACAGAACATGGTCACATGAAGCGAGGAAGAACGTTAGAGTACCGTTGGCAATGAGTACTTGACGTCGCGTTCGAGTTCCTTGAGCGACTGCACCACACGAGTCGTGTTGCGTGGCGCATCGGCAACTGCAAAGACATGATGAGATCGCGTGACGATGTCGCACAGTACTTTGGGTGGTGATGTCGGGCTCTCGTTCCTCCTCCTCCAAGTCCGGGATCTCCATGAGCTCTACGCGATGAGACGAACATGGCTCGGTGAAACTGGGACGTGCGATGTGCATTTACCAGTGGTTTCACCGTCGTCGTCGAAATGCTTGTTCTTTGGCTTCCTACTCAGACATGGATGCATTATAGGATACATAGATTGACACACATACGCTGCTTCAGCTTTCTCTTCCTTTCGGCGCCGTCCACGTTTGCTCTCAGCGGCGTCGCCGCTGCCTCCTTCGGACGCGGCAGTACTGGATCGAGACGTGTCTGCATGTGTGGTATCTCCCCATCCACTCGTTCGCTTCGGAGGAACCCCTTTGTCGTCTGAGTTGATGTCTTGCATCTGAAGGTCCATGTCATCTTTATCATCCTTGCCACCTTTGGCGGACCCGCGCGAACTGCGCGGCGTGGCCTTCTCGTCTGCGTCGCTCATTTTTGGATACACTAAATCTGCCCAAAAGGTCATATGCCGGATATTAACCGGAGCACTTGTCTCTTTCGAATTCAAAAGCTGCAGTATGGTATAAGGACAAAGCTAACAGTCCTACGGCTGTGAAGTACAATCCAGGCGACATCTTAAGTCGAGGCATATGTGGACATTGCGGCACGGTGGCTCCTACTGCCATCGTATCGTCGATGGGCTATGACGTTCCGCCCACACTTGGATGAACAACATGGAGCTATTTTTGACATGGAACGGTAGCACGAAACCGACTATATGGCGGGTGACGTCCCTTGTCATTGGTATTTCCGGGGCAGCTTCCACAACATCCAACGTGACAACATGGGTCTGTTCAAGAAGCTAGCCAACTCCCTCGGGATGAAGAAGCAGTCGGTTCGCATCTTGGTCGTGGGCCTCGACAACAGCGGCAAGACGACGCTTGTCAACCACCTCAAGCCCAAGAAGCTCCAGTCGCATGAAGTGGCGCCCACCGTGGGGTTTCAAGTGGAAGAGTTCACAAAGTACAACCTCAGCTTCACCGTGTTTGACATGTCTGGGCAGGTACAAGCGCCAAACGAATATAACATGTGATCATCCACGTGACCCCGTTTACTTCAGAGTCGGTACCGGTCGCTGTGGGAAAACTACTACACGGACGTTCAGGTATACATATACATATATATATATATATATATATATATACATGTGTGTTTCACTTATATTCGTGGTAGCAATCTCGATATTTATTGTGATCCGACCTAGGCGATCATATTTGTCATGGACTCGACAGACACGATCCGCATGTGCGTTGCCAAGGTATGTAGTAGCCGGCACCTTCTTTGTTAATACACTGTAGTATATGTGACACTGTTTGTGCGGTTGACAGGACGAACTGGAGCAAATCATTCAGCACAAGGACTTGTGTTCCAAGAAGATTCCCATCCTCTTCTTCGCCAACAAGGTAACTAACAGTCTGCTTCATATTACATCAATAGTCGTAAATCGCTCACTATACATATAGATGGACTTGGCGCATTCGCTTACTCCAGTGGAATGCATGGGGCACCTAGAACTCGACAAGCTCACCAACAAGACATGGCACATCACGTACAGTAGCATCATCGTTGGCTTTGAAGTTCTTTATGCTGATCCAGTCATATCTCCATGACGATCTAGGGCGAGCAATGCCATCTCAGGCCACGGCGTGGAGGAAGGCATCCAGTGGCTCGCGGACCAGTTGGGCAAAGCCAAGTCGAGAAAGTGATCCCGTTCCTACTACTAGGATAGTAGTAACACCCAACCACAAACGATATGTATCGTACTAGTAGTACTATAGTGCTCTTATTTCGTGTCGGCCCCAAACGCGGCGTGGCGATGGTTCGCGCTGTACCGCATGCTCTGTGCCCACGAATCAAAGTCGAACGCGTCGTAGATCATCCGCACGAGATCTTCTGCATGCTCATGCTCCTTCTCGATGGAATCGATGCCCGCAAGCTCGTCCCGCATCCGCCGATGGAAGTCGTCCGCGCTCCACCCATGCGTCCACAAGAACCGCTCGAGGCGACGCTCCACTAAGTCTTGAAACTCGGCATGTGCGGCTGTGCATTCGAGTCGAAACTCGGTCGTGTCGCCCTGGAAGTAGGGGATCACACGCCGTTCAAATTCCCACAACTCTACACATGTAGCCTTCGTTATGACCACATGAGATTTGTACGCAGTGGATGCCAGTGTGTAGGTACTTGCCGTCGAACCCGTCTTCGTCCATATCGAGCAAGTAGTCCAGCACCTGCATCATCAACGTGAGATGGGATGGAGTATGCCTCTGAGTGTACTTTGGTGATCACATTCTGCGACTTCGATGATCGCTTCACCTCCTTCGCTTCGCGGTTGACGTCTTGCCGCGCCGACTCGAGCAGTCGCTGGAAGTTCATGGTAAACTCAATATTGACACTATTTTCAAGCTCTTGGCAGTTACAAAACCGTTTCAAATTAATAAAATCACTGTAATCCTCACGGAGTACTAATTACCAGTATATGGTCGAGGATAATATTAATAACTACAGTTACAAATCAAGTCCAAAACTGGCGCGAGATGGATTATGTTGGATGACGACGTCCGCGAGAATGTAGAACACACCCTTCGACGGATTGAGCGGCAGCACGCGCGGGCGGAAAAGAAGGAGCAGGATGCACGCAAGGCATATCTTCTGCGAGAAGCAGCCCGGCGTTCCCTTGAACTGCGCCGATGTTCGGAAATGGCGGTGGAGGACAAATGGTCGCAGCTCGCGGCCGTACAGCGTCAGATCGAGGAGAAGCGCGAGATGGAGTTGCGACGGAAAGCAGAAGGCGACAAGCTGCTCGTGCTTCTCGCCACAGCGCGCAAAACCGCCAAGTCTGCTGGGGCGGCGCTCTCGACTCCTGGCCTTCGAGGGCTCGAGCGGCTCGCCGAGTTGACAGCGCGGGTGGTGGCCGTGGAGGAGGACAAGGTCGTGAAACAAGCCGAGATCACGGCCAAGCTGCGATTACGATACAACGTCAAGCGCGCTCAGTACGACACCCCCATCCATCAGATGTTTGGTATCTTACCCTCACGATGCACATATGTTTAGACGCATGATTGGGAATTACGCGGAACACCACGCTGTGGACTTGATGAACGCGGCGATACTGGGGCGGAAATGGGATGCCATGCTGCATTTGGTGGCCGTGGGTGGGCTCTCCCCCGACTTTGAAACCGTCGAGGGGGGCTTCACGCCCGTCATCATGGCGCTGAGTTGGCGCAAACCGTCTGTGGCGCGGCGTCTGTTGGACGCGGGCGCTTCCATTGACGTGGAATCGGCGCACGGGAAGACGGGTCTTCTCGCGGCCATCCTCGCAGACGACGTCGACGGCGTCCGGCTGTGCATTGCCCGGGGAGCCGACCTGGCTCGAGAGTCCCCCAAGACGGGGGTCACCCCGCTGCTGTTGGCAGTAGACAAAGGCCGCACCAAGCTCGTTCGCGTGTTGCTGGAAGCCCACGTCGATCCCAACGCTTTCAACTCGCACGGGATTTCCCCCCTTATCCAAGCCACGTTATCGCAGCAGACGGACGTGACCAAGCTGCTCTTCCACCACGGAGCGACTCTATCGGCGAGGGGAAAGGACGACCGCACGTGCGTCGAGTGGGCGCGACGGTGCATATTCCACGGGTTCGCCGACGCGCTGGAAACTCTGAATTTTGAAGTGGGGGGAGCACGCGACGAAGAAGACGACCACCGGGATGTCCTCGAGTCGTCGGTCGAAGACATTGGGTTGGTCATTCGACAAGTGGAGCGCGGGGAAATAAGTCCAAACGCCGAAACCGCCGCGGGATGGACGCCGTTGCTCGTCGCGTGCGCCCGGGGCGCGCTCAGTCATGTGCAGACGCTCCTGGCTCTAGGGAGCATCGCATGGCACCAGAATCGGCGCGGACGGACGCCGCTCATGGCGGCATGCGAGCGCGGCGCGGCAGACATGATGACATGCCTCGTGAACGCCGGCGCGAGCTTTGCAGTCGTCGACGACAGCGGCGCCGATGCCTTTCACGCACTCGTCGAGTTTCCAGAGCTCGTCCAGCAGTGGACAGCAGTGCGCAGCCAGTTTCGACCCACGGTTCCGCTGGGGGTACCCACGCGCGCGTCGGGGATCGGCCGGCCCGCCGTCGCACACGCCGTGCCCATGCTGCAGACGACAATACCAGACACCTCGGGCATCGCGGAATGGCCCCCCCGTCCTTCCCCCCCTCCATCCTCCCCGTCATCGTGCCTCGAGAACCACGACGACAGCCTAAATGACATCATGGAAGACGACACCAACAGACGTACCAAGTGGCAATTGCAGCGGACCCACTTGCGTCACGATCGAATAGCCAAACTCGTGCCGTTCTACGAAGAGCGTGAGAAAATCTGCCAAGCGCAGCAGAAAGGAAGGAGATCAGCAGTCAGCGTGCCGCTGCGAGACGCGAACGCTGCCCCCCCGCCTCCAGCGCAACTCTGCGACAACTGTCTGCACGTTCGGGCGACGGCCGTGTGCGTGGAGTGCATCATGGCGTTCTGCGACCGGTGTCTCATGGAAAGACATTATGGGCCAACGTACCATCACCACGTCACAGCGCCGCTGGACAAGGCGGCCGCCGTGGGTGTGCACCTCCGACGACCCGACGGCCCCGAGATGCACCTACGTGCAAACGTCCAACGCTGTAAAGTCGCCTTGCGGGGGATTGCCCACACGATGAAACCAACAAACACCCACCAGTCCAACCAAAATCCCACGTCGGATGGAGAAGAAGAAGATGGCGATATTCGAGCAAGGAAGCAGGCCGAGAAACGCCAAGTTGATGCGAAACGACGTGATAACATTATGGACGTGGACGTCCCGCGGCTAGCGGCTTCAAGATGCGAGGAACGAGGTAACGAGATATGACTATGCTCGAGGTTGAAACTGGAAGGAGAATATGAGACAATGTGCAGGCGACCGGCTGTTTGCGACACCGTCCGAGCTCTTTCTCGCCCGCAACATGATGCAGCGTGAGAAATACGATAAGGCGCTGGCGCTGTATGCCGCCGCCCATGCTGTCCAAGTGAATGCGTTCGGGGCGTTGCATCCCCGCGTGGGACATACCCTTGTGGAAATGGCGGCGGCGGCCCAGGTATGTATATATATTAAATATTTATTGTGGGCGATTTGGGGCCAAAGTGTGTGTGTTGGTAGTCATTTCTGTGTATTCCTTCGTTCGGGACATATATATATATATATATATATATATATATAACTATGTTTAGGCCAACGGAGACAAGGAAGCGTGGACCGATGGGTTGTTGGGCGCGCTCGAGTGCTTTGAGGTGAATTATGCCTGCGACAACGTTGACGTCGTTGCTACCGTTCGGAAAGTTTGCGACAGCTGGGTACTTAGTATACCTATCATCCTGATGGGCAAACAAGAAGACACTTTGACTCATGGCGTTGTACGATTTTCGATGCAGGACGCCCGCAAGAAGTATCGGGAGGCGATGGCGTTCTGTCGGGTGACGGAGCTGGTGAGGCGCAAAGCGCTAGGGGGGGATCACCCCTTGACGACGGACGCGCAGGACGCCGCCGCGCGGTTCGCGTGCAAGTGGGAGACGCTGCAAATGTTCCTCGAGGACCCCGTGGGGCAGCAGCTGGAGGATCGACACACAAACGCCGCCTACTACGCCGACGCCGCGCTCGGCCGGTAGGACGATACACCCATTGGTCATGCTGAATATCATATCGAGTTCAAATGTTGTGTGTGTATATATGCAGGTTGCCAAGCCAGTTTCACGCCCTGCTGCTGTCTGATCCAGGCGGGTTGGCGTTGTTCACACCGTTTTGCAACCAACGCATGCACGGGGCCAACCTGGCGTTCTGGCTCGCTGTGAACGCGTTCAAAGCGGTGAGGCGGTGATGACGATCGCTGATGTATGTGCTTATATGAGGGGTGTATGTGTGCAGAAATGTCTACAGAAGCACCCGACATTCCATCCCCGCGTCGCCGCCAAGGCCATTTTCAAAGACTTTCTCAAGTCCCAGCAGGTTAAATGCACAACCGTGGCCATGCGCAACCGCATCCGCGCGTCGTTGCGGTCCGACGCAAGCGACCCCGTCGACGTGTTTGAGAGCGCCGAGACCCTCGTGTTCAACTCGCTCTACTCGAGCGTGTTCCTGGCCTTCCTCGACACTCCAGAGGGCACGAGGTAACGAACGACCTACGTTCGTACTACGTGCGTGACGTGGCATGTTCGTAGGTGGCATGCCGACGCACATGGAAATATGCACCGATAATAATGCCATCATAACGTATCAATTCACACAGGTTATTGATTTTCTTCAAATGTCCCAACTCTTCGTACACGTCCAGAGTGTACGTCATTAAACCTTGCGTGTCACGACGTGGTGATTTGCATGTATACCCAAGCAAAGTGATATCCACGTGGTTCGTCTCGTACTTACTACTAGTACTACTAGTACTACTAGTAACAGGATACTATCAGTTGACGAATTCGGTCGACCCCGTATCCTTTGTTGACTTGGTTCCAGAATGGTGAAACGCCAAAAGCGCACATCAAAACAAACACGTGTTCTCAAAGTCGATCTTCGATCCAACATGATGCGTCAAGTTCCTGCTGCCATCCAAGCCCTTGAACGGGGTTGGAACTGTTCTACGAACATCCACTCCAAGCGCGTGGCCCCCGTCTCCGACGAGGAGCGAGGCCGTCGCGCCGCTGAGCGTGCCGAGAAGAGAGCGGCTGCTCGCCGCCTGATGCAGCAGCGTCCGCCGCGGCGCGTCCACGTCGAAGCGAAGCCCTGGAACGGCTCCACCAAGACCGACTCGAAGCGGGTCGACCCCGCAACGCCTGCTCAGCGCGACCAGCAGGGCCTCTTGCGCATGGCGGAGCGACAGGCTCGCACCTTGCGACTACAGGCCCTGCGTTGTGTGGCCTTTCAGCCCGCTGCAAAGTGGAACGCGTCCACCCGCGTGACCTCACAAGAAGTTGTTGTCGCGCGACCCCGAGTTGAGCCAGTCGTGGCAGTGCCGCGACCCCGAGTTGTGCCAGTCGTGGCAGTGCCGCGACCCCGGGTGACCCCACTCGTGCATATTTTAGTCTGCAACGGCAGCTCCAATCTCCACTCAAAGGCCCGTCCTCGTTTGTTGGTGGATGTCCGTCCGCGTCGTGGTGGTCGACCTGGCCTCGCGATGGATGCACCGCTTTAGCGACACGTGTGGCAATCTCATAACATTTAACATAGACCCCTATATACTACATGTTGACATAGTTGGAACTCGTACAGAGTTCCAACTATGGGGCCACAATCTTCTTGCTTGTGGCTGTGCATGTCGAAGCTTGTCATAGGGGTTCAGTGTACTACAGTATATGAACTGACATATGCACCACCACCAACCTTGCCCCAAACGTCGCATCCGTGGAATCGACCATGAAGATAATACAACATTGTACCGTCGACTAAATCAACCCTTGTAGTATGAAGTGACCTCAATGCCAACCTAACCCAACTTGAATGCCATACTTGGTTTTATTAAGCAGTCGCGTCCGTCATGTCTTGGTTGACACTGAGCACTTTGGCGGCTTGGATCATGTCCTTGTCGCCGCGCAGATCACGCGATGATTTGGGGAATGTTATCCGGAATGCCGGATAAAGTGACGCTTGCCTGGATCCATTGCCCAAGCAAATGG